TTAGTAATCTGTAAATATAAAATCATATTGTAATCTAACGTAATTATCATACATATTAAATTCATCAAAATGTGACAGAATGACACTTACATAACGTATGTTTTGATAAAATCCTTGAATCCAATATAAATATTATATGCATTGATCATTTAAAACAAAATTTATTCAAGTTCAATAAGATTGAATTTTGAAAACATAAACATTAAAATGTATTTATAGAAGAAAATTAGATCGATGGAAGAGTAAAAGAAATACAATATACGAGCTATCAAACATGCCTACTTGATTACATATTCTATATTATATTAGATTTTCTAAATAGAAATTTTTCCGAATTTTAAATTTTAAAAGATAATAATTTTCCACTAAGTGTAAAATCATATTTGTGTCTCAATTTTTTTTCCATTTTTATAATTCTTTGTATATAATGTACGTGAATGTAAATGTACTTATATTATAATGTATATAGGCATTTTCTTTTCATTTTTGTAAATTTTCACCCTGTTTTTTTTTTTTTTCACAGAACACAAAATTAGAAGTGGAGGCATTTAGTTTTGAACAACAAGAGGAAAATCAAAAGACTTGCAAAAAAGAGAATAACACTCATACAAAAAAAATAATAAGAAAATAAAAACAATGACAAAAGAACAAATTTTATTGCACCCAAAGGATAATTTTTCAAAAAGTAAGCAAAGTAACAAAAAAAAAAAAAAAATTAAAGAAAAGAAAAAAATTTATAAAAATAAACATAACATGCTTGTATCCTTGTAACGAAATATAACTGTTATTTGCTATTTACTTGTTTTTTTTTTTTAACTTGATTTCTTTCACTTTTTTTTTTTTTTTTTAACTTTTTATGGCTTTTTTTTTTTTTTTTTTGTTATCCTGTTTCAATTGTATCAAAATGTAAAAAGTAGGTTTATAAAATTACATGAGTACAAGACTTAAAAAAATAAAAAACAGAAACTCCTCTTATATTCATATATGTTTATATGTGTGTGAATTGTCAGTAAGTATGAACAAATATGTAGAAGAAATCCCTTTTATATTATAAAAATATAATAATAAATCCTATATGTATTAACAGCATGTATTTTTCTACATAAAATATACTCGTGTATTTAATAACAAATGGATAATAACAAAATACCATATTGCAAAAAAAAAAAAAAAATAAAATTAAAACAGCATGAACAACAAAAATACAAAATATATTTACAGAATAAGGATAATGTAAGGACTTCAGAATACACTTGGTAAATCTTTTCTTGATTTGTGAAACTTAACTTATGATTTATTGCTGCTAAAAAAAACAAAAAAACGAAAAATAAAAATGAAAAAAAACCAAAAGCAAAAAGGAAGATATAGGATAAATTTTTGCAAAAGAGGAAAACAAAAACACATAAAGAAACGGCGAATGAGAGAGAGTGAGAAAAACAAGTAGTGGAGTTCAAGAAGAAAAGAGTAAAATGGAAAGAATTTACTGTAAAAAGACAAGAATCAAAGCTAATATTGTAATAAAATGACATACGAATGATTTTTTTTTTATATATAAAAAGAGCCTATACCATATTATTCATGGTGGTGGTTAACGATTGCCATATGGTCATATTTTATTTATTTTTATAGTATTCCCAATTATACCTATAAACAAAATCTTTATATCAAAAATTTTAGCTTTTCATAATTGAAAAATAATTCTATAAAAAAAATTTTTCAGTCTAATAAAATATTATGACATCATTATTTTAATATAACTTAAAGGATTTTAAGTGGAAATTTTGTATAAAGAAAGAAAATCTAGTATTGAAATTGTTTTCAATTTAAAGCCATCAAAAAGGAATGGAAAGCAAATATATTAAGGCTTTTAAATAGAAATCCCGAAATGAAATTCGTTTTAGAATTTCTTATACTGAAAAATATTGTGAAAATTACAGTATTCTGGCATCACTTTAGCAAGTTATTACAAATTTTAGGTAAGATAATATTAAATGAAATAATGTTTGTCATAGTTAGTATATAAAATGTTATTTTCTGGATGAGATTAACTTAACTTTTATCACATTTTATGTGATAATTTTATTTTGGATGATTTGTTTCTCTTTTTCATTTGTTGATTCATTCTTCTTTAAGGATCATATTTTAGATTAATTTTATTTCCTGACGTCTACTTATAATAAAATAAAAAGTTTTATAATTTGAATTTTTTTTTTTGTTTTTTGACATATAATATAAAGAATAATGAAATTATATAGTTTTGTATGTATCTACTTCTAAAAAGATATAATCTAGAATAATTTCTAAATTTTCGAATGATTTTTGTTATATTGAAATATTATAATTATTAAGATCGGCAGTGGCTAATTTTCGAAAAAAAAACTTTATAAAAATTCCTTTTTTTTTGAAGTAGTTTAATTAAATACTTACTATACATTATTAATTAAAAATTTTGTTGTATAAAATTTAAGAATTTGTTTTTGAAGTTTTTGAAATCATAAAACACTAAAATATTCGATTATAAATCATGTGAACTACGGAAACTTTTATGAATATGAATAATGCTTTGGAAAAATACTTCCACAAAGAACTCAAATTAAATAATAAAATAATTGGATATAAGAAGTTAAGAAAAAAAAATTTAAGAATTATTTAAAATCACAAATTTAAATTTTTATTATTTTAAAAAAAATTGCATATTTATAGGGATCGCACGTAAATCTATTTTACATAGGCTGCGTGTTAAAATTAATTATTAACAAAACCTCAATTATAATATAAAATTTTAAAGATTATTATCAATATAACAATTTAAAATAAAATTTCCTTAAAAATACATAATAGTGTGATATATTTATAATAATAATTTTGAAAACCACATTCCCTTAGTTAATTTTATACAAACAAAAGAAAAAAAAATAATGTCATTTTAATTAAATAAGATGGTGGTTTCTGGACAAAAATGCCATAATAGAGGTGGTTTTTTTTTTTATATTTTTTTTGTAATAGCTTTGATTTCGTGCTGTGAATATTAAATTTAAATAATAAAGTCAGATTGATTTAATTAATACAATAATATTAAGGGGATAAAGAAAGGCAATGGAATAAAAGGAAGAAGATAACAAAATAAAATTAACAATAGGTAATTGAAATTAATTGCTGATTCATGTAAATTTAAATTTTGTAAATTAAATAAGAGTTAAATTTTTTATTTTGTTTTTCAGTATACGTTTGAATTTTTCAATTTATTTTAAAATTCATTTTTAAAATAAAGTGAAAAATTTTATTATATTAAATTCCTGTATTTTTTATTATTACATTAAAAATTGTCTTCTTTTTTTGCATTTTTACGATAATATTGACAATATAATGATTAATTTTAGTTATTAATTGATTATTGAGTTAATATTTTAGTAAATGCAGTAAACGAACCTAAGGATATAATGCAATATAACAGAAATAAATTAAATTTTTATAGTCTATATTGAAACAAAGAAAAATAAATTGAAAATTTGAAAATTTTTCATTCTAACTATGTTAATTTGGTATAAAATCACTTAAATTTATGTAAATGTTGCTTTCTATTTTGGATGTATGTTCCTTAGTATTAACTCTTAATTCTGATTTGAATTTCATGGCTAGCAAATATACAAATTTAAATTGTATTAGGTATCCAGCATAAACAAAATATTCTATAAAAGTTTATAACGATTCCTGGAAGATAAAATCAAATAATATTCTGATTTACGCGATTATATGGACTAGTCTAATTTTAATTTTGTCTGAATTTTCTAGAAATAATCTGGGAAATCTACAAAACGTACTAAAGAATCAAATACATTTATTTATAATTCATCAAATTATTTTTTTACTTAAAATATTGCTGCAGGGAACGTAAGGCAAAAAAATTGCTAATTATAATGCATAATTTGCAAATAAAATTGATTAATAATTAAAATATTATTGTTAATTAACTATTAACAAAAAAAAAAAAAAAAACAAAATATTAAAAACATTGAAAAAAGTAAAATAAAAAATTTTGCATAACAGCTAGGCGCAAGTAAAATTACTGTACATAAATTTCATTTACTTTATCATTTTTATAAACTTCATCAAAGATGAGTGCTCGTAAGACAAAATTCTTATATAATTGAAGTAGAATATAAGTCAATGTTGTAGTTTAGAATTCTAAATTGTTGGTATTGTGAGTAATTATCAGTAAATAAAATGTTATGAGTGCATATTTTAAGAAACCTATATAAGTGAGAAAAAAAGTTATTTCTGTAAATGAAGAGTTTACTGTACAATTAAATATAAATTAACTGAATTGATATTATATTTTTTGAATATTTACACAATATTTTCATTATAATATTTATTTATTTATTTTTTTTTTTTTTAATGAAGATAATTATGCATTATGCGATTAATTAGAATTTATATGTAAATAAGGGTCATTAATAAAAATAATAGCTCAACTAATTAATTGATTATTTTATAATTGGAAATTTTTTTTTCCAATTAGTTTATAAATATGTACACATGTTTATATACATATACGAGTATATATGTATATGTTGTAAATTAAAATAATATTGACGAAAAATGAGTAATTCAAAGTAAAATTTTTTTATTTCATCAGAGAAATTGAATTTTTTGATTAAAAAATTTCAATTGAAAAATTTTTGGTAATAAGTTTAGTAATTAGTTTTTGGTAATAAGATAGTAATTAATTTTTAATATAATCGGTTAAGATAAAATTGAAAAATATTATTGAAAAAGGTTTTAAGTTATAATTTGCATACTTATAATCGTATAAACTTCCTCACGGGGCCGTTAATTAAAAATTTCAAAGTATGATGAATAGATTAGAGATTATATACAAACGTAGATTATTTTGCTTTTTCAACAATTTTCAAATATATATTATTATTTTGAATAGAATTCCGAAGTTGTCAGCAATAAATAGTAAAAATAACAAAGTGAAAACAAATTAAACATACCTTTTCCTTCAATTGGTAAATGATTACATTTCATTATAGCTAAAACTGCTTGAGCAATATTTGAAAATTCAATTAATCCAGATGATGAACGTTCTGTTTTTAATGGGAACATTCTAACCGACGTTGGTGGTACTTCTTTGATATTAAAAATTCCTATCAGTTGCTCATCAGTCAATCCAGGTGGTGTGTTGAAAAAGTGTAAAATCTAGAAAAAAAAAATAATACAATAAAACAATAAAATTTGTAATCATTTTATTATTATTGACTAAGTTCTTGTGTAAAAAAAAATATTTGTAATTATCAGCAATAAATAATCATACAAAATTAATCATAATCATTTTCATACCTTACTCGGTGGTTGGATACGATTTTTACTAGCTTGTGCCGGTGATAAAAATCTGTTATTTTTTGAACCAGTATATTCTTTAAAACTTGGCGTATGATCTGGAAGACTAAATGGATTAATGACTTCCGATAGGAAATTTTGTTTTGAAAAAGCTATTTGTATTTTTCCATTATTTCCAACAGGAATGTTGTTTAAATGTTGGACACAACGTTCAACTGCAACTGAATCACCCATTTGTACCATTGCTGTACCTTCTTTGGTTTTTAAGAATTTTATCTGCAAAAAAAAAAATAATGGGATATTTGAATAATTCATGTTAATACATATGTGAAAAATTCATGTTAATGGAAAAATTTCTTTAAAATTTGAAATTCAATTAAAAATTCACCTTGGCTGGATAATAAAATGTTTTCGTGTTTTGAAACGGAATTTGTAAATTAATAAAATTTTATAATTTTTCGTAATTAATTTTTTAATAAAATCCTGAAATGGTTATGCTAGATGAGCACTCTTGTTGGCGAGTCTATGTTTTCTAGCTTATTTATAAGTAATTTCTAGCTTATTTTATTCAATAAACAAAAAATGTTTAATATATGAAAAATAATCGACAAAATCCCTTAATGCCCTTATTGTAAAATAATTTCTTTTACTAAATACAAAATTAATCTCTAATATTTATGAATATAAAAAATTTATTTTCATATTGAGCATATCCTTTTATATTGACCAAGGATTTCTATTAAGTAATAAATCCTATTGAGTTGAATTGAGATTCTTTAAGAACACAAAATATATTGTTCATTAAAATTATTATTCATTCAGAAATATTTTGTAAATTTAACAAAAAAAATTAAATTTTCTCTTCTATATAAAAAATTTTTAATTTTGAATATTGTTTCTTCCTTAATCATTTTTATCATTATATAGACATAAAATTTTGTATGTTGAATATGAAAATAAAAAGATTGGACCCAGGTGAATTTTAAACTTAAAATATTGGACAGGAAGAAAGAAATATTTTAAACTATGTTTTGAGATTCCTTTTTTTTTTTTAAATAATTTACTTTTGTATTCACATATTGGTAAGAAATATTAATTATATTTAAAATGTATTTATATATACCATATATATATATGTATATATATATATACATACATATATATGTTTCTAATAAATGTTGTAAATTTTATAAAACCATTCCGTAAAAGAAAAAAAAATATTATAGTTTTTCTTTTCACCTGGTATTTTTTTTTATACCTTTCTATATCTATTATTTTCTTTGTTCAGGATTTCAATAAATAACTAAACAAAATATCTATGTTTATTTGAGAGTCTTACATTTTTAATATTAAATGAATGTTATTCTGTATTATTTGTAAATTTTAAAAATATTATGTACAAAATATAAAAGAAGTGCAATTTCAAAAAAAAGAATTGGTATTTGTTCACTTCAATTACCAATAAATTTATTTCACATAATATATACAGTTGAACACAATATAAAGGGTAAGCTGTAACAAATTTTAGTAATATAAATCAATTTAATTGCCAATTTCTTGTTTTGAATTAATTTTCTTATATTATTTATTTTTAAGATTGCTGTTTATGGGGATAATGTTGCAGTCACGGAGGAACGCTTTGGGGGTTTGCAGAAGCTTATTGTGAGTTAAATTTTGTACACAAGTTTTCTTGACTTATTATATGGTCGCAATTCTTATTTTGTAGAGAGGTTGTGAATAGACGATAGGTCATTTCTCCTCGGTTGGTATGGACTAGAAAACTTAATTAAATGTAGGAAGAACGGGTTGCATTAGAGTAATAGGGACTCTAAAAATGACGCCGACCCACGGAATGGAGGTTTTGTTCGATTTAGAAACAGTCAAAAAGATAGAGATCGGGCTTATTTAAAAAAGTGAAGTATATACATACTAAAACTTTGGCGGAACATATTTTGAATGTTGGCGACCTACGGACGGACTATTTGGCTCCAACATCAGATTCTCTGATTCTCAGTAGAGGGGAATGGGAGATTGAATTTCCAGTTATAAAGACGACCCTAGAATCATTGTTGGAATCGGATGCAAACGAGATTTTTGAAAGGTTGCGTCTTCAGATATTTAATTTGGTTGCTTGATTACAATAATGCGTTTGAAGCACAGCACTGGAATCGGAAATGTGCTTATGGGTTGCAAAATACCACAATTAAGTAATTTTCATCGCTTAATTGTTGCATTTTAAGTAAGACACTGCTATCGATTGAAGTAAGAAATATTTGAATAAAATAAAAAAAAATCCACAGTAGCTACACTGAAATATTGCGTTTCAAGTTATTCGGTTTCCGCCTTTAGATAATTGCTGTTATAGTTGCGTTGAGAAGTTGTTCAGTTGCTAATCTTGTTTCCATGATACGATCAACTGATTGTGTTTAAAATAAATAAAAATTGAAATTAAGTTTAGATACATTTATTTATGTACTATTGTCATTCTTACACGAAGCAGCCGCCTTAATTATATATAATAAAATTCACAAAGAAAATATATTAATCGCGTTTTTTCTTTGCCAAAAGAATATTTTATTCTACTTATAGCTTTGTCTTCTACTGTTTTCATTCTTCATCATTTATAAAAATAAAATATAGCAGAGAATCTTGAACTGAAAAATATATAATCCATCCATTTTGTGTTTTTTTTGCGGTATGCTGTTTTTTTCCCCCTTTAAATTGCAATATCAATATTCCCATATTAAATTCGTTTCTTTTCTTTAACCACATTTTTTATATCTGCATATAATATGGTTTATAGTCGACGTACCTTTACGTTTCAGCACACGTACAATCATACTATAATAATATATTACTGTAATACTATGTGTTCGTACATACATCCATATAAATTTATATTATAGAATAACGTAAAATAAACACATTTATAAACGTAGCTTGCATATTCTCTGACAACAGAAAATTACAAAAAAAAAAAAAAAAAAGCCAAGAATTATATTTTTTTTTTATTTTGTGTATTCCCAATGGTAAATTGCTCTACTTATTTGCACATTACTTCCAGGATTTATAACCTGGAATATTATTGTCGTATGTTACAATAAAATGTGCAAGTGATATACAGAAAAATAAAGAAAATAATATATTTTTTTTTATATTACATGTACAATACACCATATAGGTGTATATATAATCATATAATTCATAATATATGTATAGGGTGTGTACCTTTAATTTCTACGTGATGATTAGCCATCTTATGATCATTAAAAGTTTAAGCAAAATAAAAATTTCTACTCGTTAAAAAATAAATACGTGATCCTTTTAAAACTGGGATCTATCTAGATTAATAGAGAATTAAAAAAAAATCGTCATCTGAATTATTATAAAATGTTGTTTTCGAAAATATTATTTAAATATTATTAAAATTTATTTTTTAAAAATATCAAAATATTATTCGATATGATTAATTGCTTTAGCGAAGTTACCTACAGTTTTTAGAACATAATAGGGTTTGGTTTACAGAATTTTTTATTATGAAGATTTTTCGAATGATGTGAGTAATTTTTGATATTATTTTCTTACAATTTAATATGAGCTTAATTATTTTATTTTAAATCAAATTGATTATAGAAAATCTGAACAATTTCTAAGTTTTCAGAAATTACACTTGAAATTTTAAATATTTTTATCCCTCCTATTGATAATACGTCGTATGTACATCATTATTCTTATAATAAATTTGTTAGATTAATTTCCAATTTTAAAATATAAAATTTTTTTAAAAAAAGTTTTGTTTTTTCGCAGTATTCTTATTGTTTTTTTTTGTGCTGGTACGTTGTCGAAGTATGAGTTCTGAAACTTTATCAAAAGTTTTTATCATAACATATCACAACCGATGCAACTTATTTAACATAAAATGCAACGTATGTGAAATAAGAAACTAAATGCTTTTTTTCTTTTGCTTTGTTATATTGTAGAGGAGAAATAACAACAAAGACGTAGCAAAAGAAAAATGAAAAGGATCTTCTTTAGAAGCCATTATCATGTTGTTCTTTCTACAAACAAAATTATTTTTTTTTTCATATATTTTCTTCAACATCATCTCTCTATCAATATAATCTGTCTTTTTTACTTCAAAGTTTTTGGTATCGGGTTCCAACTATATAGTTGGAAATGAAATGTATATATATATATTTATATATATATGTATATATATATATATATATATATATATATATATATATATATGTATATTACCATCTATATATGTAAAAGAAACGAGAATATGTACGGAACGCTTTAGTGTTTTCTTAACGTTATTTTCTTTTTAAAATTTAGCTTTTATACATGAAAATATCCTTAAGTTTATTCTATATGCATACATGTATGTACCATATAGGAAAGCAAAAAAAAAGAAATTTCAAATTTTTATTATTTTTTTTTTTTAAGAATTTATTTAAATTATATTTATATCTTTAAATCGGTATAAAGTAACTGTCGATTGAAATGATATTGATGTTATTTTAGAGAGGATATGCGAATTATTGAAGAATTATGTTTCGTTTCAAAATCTACGAGGCACCATATTGTATTTAAATATTTTAAGGTAAAATTATATTTTCCGTATATCTTAAATGAATATTCTATCCTTTATATTTTGCATAGCACTATTTGGTATTATATTTCCAATATTAATCGTATGTGTTAGTTGTAAACTCCTTTTAGTATTTTAAATCGAATTGCATAAATAGATCCCCGTTTTTAATAAAAATTTTTTAGTTTAGCTACAATTTTATTTCATATTTATTATGCTTATCTGTGCCAATCACCTCAATTTGAATGTTTGAATAAATATTCAATTAAATATGATTTGAAATATTTGAATAATTTTTCAATTTTATAAAATGAAATAATGAAATCAATACAAGTTCATATTTTTAATTAATGAAAGTTTTAATAAATTTACAAATCTGCTCAAATATGTATATTTGAGTGAAGAGTTTATGGTTTTATAAAATAATATTCATTTTTCCGTTAGGAATATGAAATGAGAAATATTTTGTATACATTTATGCTGATATTTATAAAAAATTCCCCTAAAAGTATGCAATTTTTTATAAAATTTTTTGTGAAAAAAAATCAATACCAGTGTCAAGATCATAAAACTAAATTTCTAGCTATTGAAAAACTCTTCATTCTTATTTTTTATTATTTCAGAATTATTTTTTACAGTACTATGATTGGCACAATCAAATGAAATATTTTTCATACGC